CCCGCCCCGCCCTGGAATTATTCTGATTTCATTTATCTTTGCTACATAAGAACCAGCACATTGTGCTGGTCAATAAGATCTGGTACTGGCAAACTAAACCAGTGATGCCACTGAGGCTTTCTGCCATGCTGTATGCACCTCAGATTATAGAGGAGAAAAAGCTTTCTGGAAAATGAGAAGTAACATGACAATGCTTTTTCATATTTCACAGTTGAATTACAGAACAGAAAATAAGGAGAGAAAAAAAAAAATATCTTAAAATAAAATTTTTGGAAGACTTAGAACTTCAAAAGGAAAATAAAAAGCTAATTCAATATAAATTTTAGAGATTCTTGTAAATTATACTTTCTCAGGCTTACTGCCACAGTTCTCAATGGTCAGAAGGCCGATGAATGGTTCATGGGTCACTAATGGTCCCCAAGGCACTTGCTGGCATCCTACAGTGTTGTCTAGTCACATGATGCTGGCTCTCCTTGCTTCCAGCTGCTCAACTGTACTAAAAGCTAAAAATATATTACTTCAACATTACTTTTCCATTTAAATATTGTGTTGCTCTCCTACCTGTGCTACCACAAACAGGAAAGGACACAGCTCACTAGATTTTAAGAGGCACAGCACTGTGGAAAAATTTGAGAACCTCTGCTTAGTGTTAGAATTAATATTTACCCTGGGTTTTTTTTCCTCCATCCATTCACACTTCCTTTAAGCAGCCTAAAAGCCAGAACAAGGCAGATTTGGGGCTCCAGAAGCTATGCTTTTTTACCAAGCACACTGGTTTCTTACAGTACAAGAAACTTCCTAACCTGTAAAATATTTGGATTCGAGCATCTGTTTGCAGGGTTTAGGGAAAAGGTACGTCAGATCTAAATACCAGAGTGAGTTGAAGCCATTTGTTAAAAGCAGAAGCTCTGACAGATACAGGTTTCAGGTTTTGGCACTAAATGGAATTTATTTACAGATTTCAGTCTTGCTGCCTCAGATATGCTTTTATTCCCACCAAAAATGACTTAAACATCAAACTATTCAGACAGTTGCCTCCCCAAATATCCAGAGTAATTCATAGGAGTTACTCCTGAGCAGCTACTGGACCAGAACAATTTGCAATGCTAAGCTGGTACTGATACACCTGATTGGTATGAAAGCCTGATGAGTGAATCATGCCTACCTGAAAGAAAAACAGTGGATTATTGCTTCTAAGTAATCTGACCAGCTAAAATAATTTCCATGGGATACCTGCTCAACTCTAACTAAGACTATATTCAAACAACTGAACATTACTTCACATAGAAAGATCTAGGAATACTTCTAAAGAACACAGTAGTAAAGAAGAAAGTGGTAATAAAGCACTATTTAAATATTTTGGGTTTTTAAAGGTAGTATGCCTGCTATTAAGGGGCACTTAAACACATACATGATATGAAGAACATGTCAAAGAACACATCAAACAACACTAGAACTTGTAACTGTTAGATACCATGGTCACAAGGTTTCCGAACCACTGATGAGCAAGTTCATGTCCTACAACCAGAGCAACCCACTGGCGAGATGAAGAGCAGGAATTTTTGGGGTCAATGAGCAATGCAGTCTCCCTGTATTGAAGAGACAAAGATAACTGAACAGAGTGGTACATGCCCAGGCAAAAAACACAATCAAAAGTAGGTTAAATTACCTAAGCAAGCTAAAAAAGTGATCAGTACAACTGAAAAAAAACCCCAAAAGCTATTTCAGTTTAGACATTAAATTACTTTGGTAAGTTCCACAGCTGTTGGAATGCTCTGGAGCAACAATTCCTTACAGCATGCAAGAAGACAAGCATGAAAAAACCCAGGCAGGAAGAAGAAAGTTTATCCTTTATTTATAAAATAGCTCACCTACATATCTAGGAACCTTAACTGCCTTTGCACTGTGAGATGTATGTGCAGCAAGTCTTCTCTGCCTCCCTCACCCCTAAAGGAATTCCAGCTCTTCCACACACACAACCAGCCGTGTTACACTCACCACAGCACACGCTTCTCCGTAGAGGACACACGTGTGCACACGCACCCACACGCAAGTGCTCCCGAGGTCAGGCACACACCTCCCTGCTATCAACACCCCTGTCATGATCAGGACTTAGTGGGTCAGTCAGAAAGGATTGCTGGACTGAAACTCATCAGGGGAAAAACGTGCATCTCAAAACATAGATGGGGCCTGCAGGTTATGCCAACCTGTCCCCAAAGGGATAAAGCAAGCGTGCCAAGCTGAGCATAAGGTGGGGGAAAATTAACAGCACAATTAAGAAAGGCTTCAAAAAAATTCTACTCATCTTTTTTCTTCCCCCACAGGGAGTAAAATATCAGATTTCCTCAGAATTGCAATAAGCAGACAAGGAGATTTTAAACCTGGGCTCAAATTTCCATTTTAATATTTAAGGCCAAATTAAAAGTTTAGCAAAAGAAATTCGAATTATTTCAGAATTTAAAGTCCAAAGCTTACAAGACCAATGTTGTACAAAAGGAAGGAAAATCATTCTAACAATGAGCACAGATAATGTCATATCAAGCAAAAGTACAAAAGCTTGATCAGATGAACAAAAAAAAAACCCAAACTGAAAAGGAAGGCAAGTTAATATTTTTTATTTACTCATATCCACATGGTTATACTGTGGTTGCTAAATTAATCAACTTGCCTACAACATAAAATAAGAAACTCTTGCAGCTGTGTCAGTAAGTACTTAACTTTTACAGGGAAAAAAAAACAGCCAAGAAAGTTCTCTTGTAGAACAGGCAGTGCTGCCAGACACTTAAAAAACCTCACACCCTTGGACAGTAGTTGCAATAGCTCATTCTTGCCTTCCTAAGATTTGCACGCTGCTGCAGAAGCTAAAATTATCCAAACTGAAGCAAAAGTTGAAGGTATTTACTCAGTCTTATTTGGGATGATGCCCAATAATTACAGCTCCCTAAAACTAATCCAATTACTTCCAAGAATTAGTGAACAAAGAGGGGGGAAAGACAGTATTTTAACAGCATACCTATAAGTAACAAGGCCCCAGTTCTCCATGGCACCTTTATAAAATAAATACAAAGGTTTATTGATATGGATACACACCTCTTCCTAAATGTTTAAAATTCAAATAAAATACAGTTCATCAATAAAGTGAGTTACTTTACCAGCAGCAAAGTCTGCAATAGCTATGAGATCAATTTTAGGAAGAGGGTAAGGAACATTGAAGTAGTCCTTATAAAAAGGCAGAGTTTTAGCAGCAACCTGTAAGAAACAAGAGGAGAAAAGTTAATTTGGAACAATTAGTAAAACTTGAAGATTTATAGAATCATAGAATGGTTTGGGTTGGAAGGGACCTTAAAGCTCATTCAGTCCCAACCCCCCTGCCAGCAGCAGGGACACCTTCCACTAGACCAGGTTGCTCAAAACCTCATCCAACCTGGCCTTCAACACTTCCAGGGAGGAGCAGCCACAGCTTCTCTGGGCAACCTGTTCCAGTGTCTGACCACCCTCACAGCGAAGAACTTCTTCCTAATATCTAATCTAAACCTCCCCTCTTTCAGCTTAAACCCATTTCCCCTTGTTTTGTCATTAACTGCCCTTATGAAAAGTGACTGAAATTAGCCTAAGAAACCAGTATACACAAGATTTCTTCCAGAAGCCTCGTTTCCAGCTTCCAAACAATGGTTTCAAAGGCTCCCATCCCCTTTTTCTCCCAGGCTGTGGTCTACCCTTCAGTACTTCTCATCTTTGGACCAAAGTCTACATCACTAAATCAAAACTGAATTAAACTGCATGTTTTCATCAATATAGACATTAGTTTGTCCACAAGTGAAATTCTGCTTAATATCAAGCCTGGTCTCTCTGAGCCATTAAAGGGAAAAAAACCCACTCTCATGAGCTTTGCATGGATTTAGGGGATGGAACAGAGGGGAGAGCTACATCCAGCCAGTGGGAGATGGCTGGAGCAATAGTAAAGTCACCCTGAGCACATTTACCTCTAATGCAAACTTTCCTTGCTCCGCTTTGCCAACAGGAGTGTAAACGCGCACTAAGACGCCGTCAAGGGACCTGGCCTCTACGAAGTCATATTCTCCCACCACAAACGCTACCAGATACGTCGACATTACAGGGGTGCGAGCAAACTTCACTTCCACCAGGTTTTCATCATCTGGGTACGGCTTCCTGTCAATAACATTCTTTCAACATGAAAAGGAATCAGTTAATTTTGTGGAAGTGAAACTGGATTACACAATACATTTGACTAGACTAACTATTCCCTCATTATGAGTCATATATTTACAGTGAAAGGGTTTCTTTTATGATTATAGAATACAGAGCATAATGTAGTTCCCCTCCTACCTAAAAATGCCCCAGCATATTTGGAGATCATAGAATCACAGAATGGTTTGGATTGGAAGGGACCTTAAAGATCATCCAGTTCCAACCCCCCTGCCAGCAGCAGGGACACCTTCCACTAGACCAGGTTGCTCCAAGCCTCATCCAGCCTGGCCTTCAACACTTCCAGGGAGGGGGCATCCGCAACTTCCTACTTTTATAATCTATATGTTATATTCTACTACTGCAAAGGCAGCTGAAACATATCAGCTACCAGCTGCTGTCCTTCAAAGAGGATATTACCCTCATCCCAATAAGGCACCAGGCTTTCACTTTAAATTCTGAAACAGAAACCATAACCATGTGTCAGTGGGCAAAGCTAAACTTTACAGGTAACCAAGAAAGTTTAGCTACTGGAATAAAAAAAAGTCTATTTTAAAACTGACTTGCTCTTCTCCAGCAACATCTTCTAGAAATACCGGCTCCATATTTAGAGTAACAACCTGAAAACATCCACTTGTATTTCTGACAGAGTTACTCCTACTTGCACATTGTACCCTGGGTCTGGTGAAAAATTCTCTAGGGCAGAAAACATGCTTATTTACCTCAAGTGCTATGTTTGCTTATGCAGCTGTAACAGCTATATAAACACAAAAAGGCACTTTTTTTTTCCCCCCAGTCACTCTTAATCAAGCAGCACGTGGCATGACATATGCTAAGATTTTTTTTTTAAAACAAACAAACAAAACCCAAACACCACTGTGGTTTGTACAACCCATTTAGATTTTGTTCTAGCATCTGACATCACAATATAATCTTTTTAAAAGTTCTCTCAATTTAGAGTTGCTTAGCAATAGCTAGTAAGGCAGCCTATATTCCTAATCCTGTCTGTTATCCAGACACACTATTAACTATCAAATAATCAGCTGGTATTATTGCAGTTTTATTTAAAAAAAAATATGTTTACTTGCCCATGAAGAACTTACCATATTTGACAAAGCTACTCTGTCTTTAGGAACCACCAAAGAAATATCAAATGTTGCCTTAATAGCAGGCTCATCCCAGCAAGGGAAAGCTCTGCGAGCATCAGTAGCCTGAAAGAAGTAAGAGCATTAAACAAACAAATCACAAGAGATTGTGGCAGTAAAATACACACAAATTCAGCATATTTTACAGGCAAGAAGTTGGGTGAATGATGGCTAATCACTGGTACAGAGTCTCCTCAGTGACACTCTTGACCTCTGCGTTTTATTCTTACTGTGATAACTTATTTCACTCCTGGTTTAAAAATAAAACGCAGCTCTGTGCTCTGATGGAATTCTACAGTCTGAGCAAAATTTAGCAGAGTCATGACAGGAGCAAAGCTCAGTCATGTGAAAGCAGAGAAGGCACCCAGGCGTTCACAGATCATACACACAAGACCACCTATTTATATTCTGTCAGCAGACTGCACCCAAGAAATGTTCTATTTGCACGAGGTAAGTACTCCATGTTTTTATGTAACCAGGCAGATAACGATGAAATTACACTATGGGATAAAATTCTGTCGTTATATCCAGGGATTCTGTAACACTTGAGACAGAATCTGGCTCACATTTTAGATGTCATTAATACACTGAGATAAAGGCAGAGCATCCTATTAAAAAAATTAAATATACTTCATAAAATTATACAGATGTATTTGACCACATCTAAAGAAACAGCTGTTCTCAAACATTGCTGTAATCATATATATATACAGGATGCACCACACATCAGCACAATTCTCAGCTGGGGAGTTTGCCAGATCTAGAATTTACCGACCTTGAAGTCGCAATATAAAGGCTGCTTTTAGTATCACCCATGCACACTGAGAGGAAGAAGCAAATAAATATAGATTTTTTTGAAATTTACCCAGAGGGTAGAGCTAAAGCTAGGAAATCATATCTTGGCTTCTTCTAAGCATAAATCCTGTATTAATAATGACATTCCTTGAAAACAAAAATAGAGCCCATACCTCAAACTGAGTGACAGCAGCATAGCGTGTGTCTCCAGTTGGGGTGGTGTATTTACTTCGGTAAAAACCTTTCATTTTATCATTCAGCTCCCCTACAAAGTCTATCTTTAGTGACCCTGTCCCTGCAACAGAAACATGTTATTTGCATGTACCAAACAGAACATTGATTTGGTGTGGATCTTCAGGCCAGGCCCACTGCCCTTCTGAAATAAAACATCCCCCTTTGACTCATTTCCACCCATCAGTTTTTTGCCAGCCTCCCTCCAACCCTTCGCTCTCCTTACACTAAATAAACTCCAGCAGAGCAATGAAGGCAAAGTCAGGCTCACCACAGCATTTTAGCACTTGATCAGCAAAGGCTGCTGCAATATTCATTCTCATCTTCTAAATACAACACAATAACCAGGACAGACCTACCTTAAGCCACTGGAGAAGTCTGATCCTAAAATCCCTACCTTTGAGGAAAGTTTGCAAAAATATAGGATGGTTACTAATGGCATCTTGCAAAATCCACTACAAAAGCCAAGATGGAGCACTGGCTGCGTTCAAGCTCATAAGTCAATTAGTCTCAGGATTTATTCTGCCCTCAATTTCTCAGTGCAAAAGAGGAAACCTGATCTTGATCAGAGAGGCAACATGCCAACATCCCACAGAACGGAACACTAAAGTTTTGTCACCCTAGAATCTTTATCTTTGTATTGGTCAAGAGGAAATAAACTACTTTATTCAAACTGAGGAACTGAGTTTCAACCAACAAACTCCTCAGAGCAAAAAACTGCAGCAGTTTCAGAAGAATTGGTACATTCACACCTAAGAAAATACTGCAGTAATTCAGATTAGCTCTTTCTCAGCAAGAGGAAAACAGATCATCAGTAGCTAAAAGCTTCTGAGTCTAACTCCCAACAGCAGGTAAATAATTTGAGTTACCTCAGGTGTTGGAAGCAGACATCACCATTAGTGAAAAGAACATTTTCAATTCCAGAGGCTCATGAAGTGGCTCATAGTGGACAGACTCCCCAGGGAGCACTACATTCACAGTCAGGAAATTCAGGGAAGACAGAGCTGTCCTACTCCAGCTTTTTCAAGTGCAAATGTCTTAAACACATGGTTAAAGCAAGCAGAAAGCATGAAAATAGCTCTTACCTTTCTGAAGAGTACTGGGAAAGGAGAGAGTAACCTTTTCATCCTCATTTTGATAGTTGAACCCTGTGGCATGTACCTCTGAAATAGAAAACCAGACTATTTAGCTCAAAATAAGCCCCAGAGATGTTTTTGTAACTCGTGAACATTTAAAATTAACTGAAGTAGCTGAATCCAACAACATGCTGTAGTTATTGACCAAATCAATGAAGATTTGGAATAATCCATAATGGTATCAATGGAAGCACCCAAAGAAATGCCACTTGTTGTTGGAGTTCCATGTTATATTATTTGGTTCAGACAAATAAATCTAAATTTACATCAGACTATATAGCCACAGACTCAAAGCAGCACCTCTGTGCCCCTTCCACCTCTGCCAATTATTCCAAACAGCATATTTATGATTTATTTAACTAATTGTGGATCTTACTTTCAAAAGCACACTGACATCCACAGCAAGGTGGTTTTGTTTGGTTTGAACCACAAAGAAAAACACAATGTTGATTTTATTTTAAAATTCTCTTCAGAGCCAGAGATCTACCTTGGAGTTTATAAACTATTCAACAAGGGCATCCAAAATCAACCAGAATATTAAGCAGAATGGCATTTACACAGCACTGGATCAATTTGAGATGCAAACATCTGAACTATGAGGCCAAGCTGGATAGATGTGGGGAGAGAATCGATACACAGGAATTAAACTGTCCTGCAGCTTAGAGTTGGCAGAGTCAAGAGAGAACACCTGGTGTTGCTTCTTCCTTCCTAATTCTTCAAGTCTCACTTGCTGCATTCAAGGTGATGCACGTTTATGCTCCTTCAACCAATAAAAAAGTAAAATAGCTACATAGGACCCCACTTTGCAAGTTCTGCTGCATGTGTCACTCTGTACTCAGTCACCACAACAACCAGCTATCTTTAAGAAATGCAAATCTGCACCAAAACAAAGGGGAAATGCTTTCTAGCACTCACCAGCATCCTGAACTACCAACCGTGGTAAGCCTGGACACAATGATCCATCTTTCTATGCAGATATACTGAGGTATAATTCTAGATTTATAGATTCACAAGTTCTTAGATTTATTGTATTATAAATCTTCAGCAGTTCAGTATAGTTTTGGAAGACATGGGAAATGCATAAAGCAGTTTAAAGTACCAGCTTTCCTAGTACAAGCTGCCTGTCCCATCCCACTTACAACACTCAAATCAAAGTGAAAACACACCCAGGATATTGAAATGCCAACAAAGGCTCTAGCAACCTTCTCAGGTACTTCCAAAATCAACCAAGGAAGAAAGATTCAGTAAATACCTTCAGTTATCTACTGAAGGAGATACTAGTTTTGAATTGTTAGAGAAAAAAAGGACAAAAAAGACTCCTGGAAAGTGTTGTGATACATAGAGATCAACATCCTAAGAGAAAAATGTGCCACTGTATCAACTTCTTCACTACAGGGAATTTTGAACGACAAAGCTTGTTTGAAACAACAATTTAATGTACAGAATCACCTGTCTTGCACTCTCAGGTATCACTACAAGCACCCAGGTATTCAGTTTCAGCCTAAGCACACTCACAAGAAGTTCAGCTAAGTCATTCCATATGTGACAAAAGTAACTGGAAACATGTTTTTATTTTGATAAAATTTAAAGTGCTATTTATTCTGGAATAGTATGATTTTAGCCTTAAGTTGGAGTTAATACCAACCTCTGCTCACAGAGAACATAAATGCAGAAACTGCATGAACAAATTAGTCTTAACTACTGGTTTCACAGTGCTCTGGCTCAGTGTTTCATCAGTTAACCATCATGCTCGGGTGTATAATACCTAAATGCTTACAATAAAGTAGTTTAGCTGTAAAAAAAAATACAGTACTGAAACAAATTCAAGAAAAAAAGATCCTTACAGAATCAAATAGAAGAACTTTAGAATACCAGCCTGTACTGAGGACTTCCAAGATTTTTAAAATCAGCTGGAAGAGGGATGAGATAGACCATATAAACAGAACACACGCCAAGGACAGCAAAATGCCAGCAAGTGATGAGAATGAGCAAGAAAAAGTAAATAGGACAAGAGGAAATGGGCTCCAGTTGTGGCCAGGGCAGTTGAGATGGGATGTGAGGAAGAATTTCTTTGCTGAAAGGGTTCTGAGGCATTGGAAGGGGTTGCCCAGGGCAGTGGTGGAGTCCCCATCCCTGGAGGGATTGAAGAGTCATGTAGACATAGTGCTGAGGGACATGGGTTAGTCATAGGGGACTGGTCAGTGTTGGGTTAAAGGTTGGACTTGATGAGCTTAAAGGGCTTTTCCAATCCAGGCAATTCTGGGATTATGTGATTCTTCTTATAACTCTGAAGAATACTGAAGCAGAAAAGGAGACATAAGAGAGTTGGAGAGCAGATATTCAGGGGAACAACACTAACACACAACATGCTAGTCTGAAAGCAGGCTCCTCAGCAAGAGAGTGGAGCTGATTGCTGACTACACCGTTCAGAGCCAATGAATTTTGACCCCAGCTATCTTTAGAGTCCAACAGACAACAAAGCTGTTGTTCTGCAATAGCACGTTAGTGACCTGGGTCAGAGGGAAAGACGAGCTGAATACCTGTTGGAAATTTATGTTAGCCTGCATGGGAGGAAGAATTCCACTGCTGGACAACCTGCAAATGCTGAGCTGTCAGCCCGTGGTCAGAGGCTAAATGAAAACCTGAGAAACACCTGATAAAGATCAGGACAAGAATGCAGAAACTCTTCCCCCCCCCTCCCTCCCCAGGATGTATTTTAAAATGACTACAGCAAACCAAAAACATTCGTATCTTTTTAAAAACTTCTAATGGAAACAATCTGATACTGAAGACAAACAATACCGTGACTTGGAGATCATAGTTCTAACCTAGTGAAACTGAGAAATACAGAAGAATGCCTGTTATGCAGATCTCCTGCCAAAAGTTGACAATGAGTATCAAGTTTCCCCCATCTCCTCCTCTCCCAAATGTGAAGTCCTCCTAAGTGTATTTGAATTCGCAGCTCTACTTTATAAACTTTTTAACCTGTATGAGGAAAGATCCAGGGAAAGATCATCAGTGCTAGAAGGAGGTGAAGACCTTCAGGGTTGGTTTTTTTTCCTCCTGGAAACAGCCTGGGAAAGCACATTTAACACATGGCAGAAACCTTGTTTCAAAGAGCTTCTCAACCTTAATTTTACAGTGTTAGATCTCAATTACCCTAAGGTTAGAAACAATGTTTAAACAAGTTATAGTTTAAATAAGATGGAAACAGCCATCTCCCAAGCACATTCTGATCACAATCTCCAGGAAAGGAGGCCCAGAGTCTTGTGATATCCCAGGGCTGCCCCACTTGCCATGACAACCAGCCTCTGATGAACACTTAAAAGCCATGGCAAGAGTACATCTGGAACAGAAATAACACCCATTCACACTTTCACAAGATCTGTGCTCATTCAGGAGTTGGTGTTTAGAGCCTCTTTCCACGCTCAACTCCAGCAATATTTTGTAATTCTCAAAGCAGCTGCTTAGATATCAATTTCTGAAACAGCAGAATATAAATGAAAGATTCAAAGATACATATTTTTTTTTTTCAAACTAACTATTCAATGCCAATAATTTAATCCAGAGCAAAAGAACCACGGGAAAACCATCAACAATACTTTTTGTTAAAGAGTTTAAGAGAACTGCCTATAACAAAGATGTAATTGCAGTAAAAGGCTGTCTGAATTCCTACCAGCGTGGAATACAAAAGCTCCTGAAGAGAACAACACAATTTTGGCAGCCTGCTAAGTTTGGAGAGTTTGGCACTGCAAGGTTGCAAGTTAATCACTAGCACATTAGTACAGAGTCTGGACCAAGTCGCATGAGAAAATCAAAAGCTGCTAGTGCTCCGTGTCTTTGGGGAGGGGGGGGGAAAGAAAAGGCATAAAAATCAGATCTAGCAACTCTCCTGAACTACATATCAAATTTTACAAGAGCATTTTCAATAAATCACAGTCCTTCCACAGAGTACTTCCTGAAATGGCACAGTAACCAGATGGATACATCAGTTAATGACCCCAGTTTCTGTATTACATGCTTATAAACGTGGATCCGAGCCAAAGGTTTTAAGCAATGTCAAATGTGCGTGTTATTTCAAAGTGAAGACAAAGCCAAGTGCAAGAGAGATGGAATTTTTTTCAAGTAGCCTTCATTCCATGGCACAGAGAAGTCACAGGCAATTAAGGTAGGGTGGTTTAATGAACTTGCACTCATCAACTGAGCCGCAGCCACTGCGTGTACTCTGCCTACTCTATCTGCAAATTCAGTATTTTAGCTTAAAACATCTCTGTGTTGGCACAGCACACGCTGTCCTCCCTCAGCATTAGCCACTGGACTGTGCTGCAGTTCCTGAGGATGCTGATGCTCCCAAGCCCTTTCACATCTTCTCATGTGTCTCAAACCAGTGGTTGTAAAATCCTTCAAAGGAGTGAGAAGTATTCTCCTCTATCAGATACTCCCAAACTGTCCAACCAGCACAGCCCAGGCTTCCTTAAAACACTCTGCCATGAAAAATTCTGTCACATCAAGTCCTCTCCAGAAGGAAGGATGAAGATGAGCTTTTCTACAACAAAGAAAGGTTTCACAACTGGCTCTGGGCAGAGACAATAGTCTCATTTTTCCCCACCTGACACCAGCTGCATGTTCCCATTCCCATCCTTCCACTGGCATTCACATACAATCACCAGGATCAGGAAAATGATCTGTCTCCAAGCTGCCTTTTTTCTTCCCCCCCGTTTTGTAGAGGCAGTTTTCAGCCAGTGCAGTTTGATCCACAGGGCTGCTCAACAGTACAAACAGGAATGGCAAGAGAAGGGAGTGAGGACAAGCCCTGGGACAGGCTGCCCAGGGAGGTTGTGGAGTCTCCTTCTCTGGAGACATTCAAGACCTGACTGGACACCTTCCTGTGTTATCTCATTTAGGTTCCTGCTCTGGCAGGGGGGTTGGACTGGATGATCTTTGGAGGTCCCTTCCAATCCCTGACATGCTGTGACTCTGTGTGTGGTTCTGTCACTGCTCCTTTCCACAGCAGCACCATTTCAGAT